TCAGTCCTCACCTAAAGTAAATTAAAAGGACTTGCCATGCTAAGTGATACCAACTTTGCTTTAAATGCTTTTGCCTTAACTGTGCCAACCTGATCTATAGCTTTTGCTTTGCCTTTAAATAAATAAAATGGGGGAGATGTGGAATATACTATAAAGCAAATGTACTTCACAGGACCTGGTTTTCCAAAGCCTTGCAGTTTCAAATGTTGACCTTGTGAAGGACTGGAAATTATCCTCAGGCTATAAAGTCTCTGGCGTAAGATAAAGATTTGTGGCACAGCAAGGTTGCTGGCTCAAGGACAGACCAGTTACTGATTGATATGTGTAGATACTGGAAAATTACTAGAGGGAGAATGAATGTTTGCTAAGATCAAGCTTTTGTTAATGGATCACTTAATTGCCTTGCTGGAATGTCATCTGCCTTCTTTCACTGAAAGTTACTGGCCCATATTGTTAAACTATAACCCCAGCTATGTTCTCTTTCTGTAACTTCCCAGTCTGGAAAAGAAATTCAGGAAGAGAACCCCAATTCGGGGTTAATTTGCCAAGGAAGGGATGCCTCTTGCTTGAGGGTTCCGACAGGAGATTAACCACTTCAGGGTCTCTCACTGCTCAGAAGAGATGGTCTTTAAGTAATCCCTTGCATCTCCATCACCCAGGAGAAGTGGGGTGACAAATCCATGGGGGGCAAAGCAACAACAACCAAAACCAAAGATACAACAAAAAAAGAAAATTAAAGGCCAATATCTTTTATGAACATAGATGCAAAAATCCTCAACAAAATATTAGCTATCAGAATACAGAAACACGTAAAAAAAAATTATACACCATGATCAAGTGGGATTCATCCCGGCTATGCAAGGATGGTTCAACATACACAAGTCAATAAATGTGATACACCACATCAACGAAATCAAGGACCAAAACCATATGATTATCTCAATAGATGTAGAAAAAGCATTTGACAAAATTCAACATCCGTCATGATAAAGACTCTCAGTAAATTAGGTATAGAAGGAAATTATCTCAACACAATAAAAGCCATTTATGACAAACCAATCTCCAACATCATCCTGAATGAGGAAAGCTAAAAGCTTTTCCCTTAAGAACAGGAACAAGACAAGGCTGCCCACTCTCACCACTCCTATTTAACATAGTATTGGAAGTATACTAGCCAGAACAATCAGGCAAGAGAAAGAAATAAAGGGCATCCAGATTAGAAAGTATAAGGTCAAACTGTCACTGTTTGCAGATGACATGATCTTATATATAGAAAAACCTAAATGCTGTATCAAAAAATACTTAGAGCTGATTAACAATTTCAGTAATGTTGCAGGATACAAAATCAACACCCAATAATCAGTAGCATTTTTATACTCCAGTAACAAACTAGCGGAAAAAGACATCAAGAAAGCAAGCCCGTTTACAATAGTCGCCAAGAAAATAAAACATGTAGGAATCAATTTAACCAAGGAGGTGAAATATCTCTACAGTGAGAACTACAAAACACTACTGAAAGAAATTAAAGAGGACACAAAAAGGTAGAAAAACATACCATGCTCTTGGATGGGAAGAATTAACATCATGAAAATGTCTATTCTACCCAAACCAATGTACAGATTCAATGTAGACCCCATGAAAATACCAATGAAATTCTTCACAGAACTAGAAAAAGCAATCCTAACGTTCATCTGGAACAACAAAAAGTCCCCATTAGCCAAAGCAATCCTAAGCAAAAAAAAAAAAAAAAAAAGCCAGGGGCATAATACTACCTGACTTCAATTTATATTACAAAGCTATTGTAATCAAAACAGCATAGTACCAGCATAAAAATAGACACTCAAATCAATGGAACAGAATAGAAAACCTGGCGATCAACCCACATACTTACAGCCAACTGATTTTTGATAATGGTACCAAGAACATACATTAGAGAAAAGACTGCCTCTTCAATAAATGGTGCCAGGGAAACACATATTCAAAAGAATGGAACTGGACCTGTACCTCTCACCATGTACCAAAATTAACTCAAAATGGATTAAAGATTTAAATATAAGACCCAAAACCATAAAATTACTAAAGGAAAATGTAGGGGGAACACTTCAGGAAGTAGAACTGGGCAAAGACTTTATGAATAAGACCCCAAAAGTATAACCAACAAAAGAAAAAAATTAACAAATGGGATTATATCAAACTAAAAAGTTTCTGCATAATAAAGGAAACGATAAACAGAGCAAAAAGACAACCTATGGAATGGGAGAAAATATTTGAAAACTATACATCCAACAATGGACGAATATCGAGAAAATGTAAAGAACTGAAACAACTACACAGTGAATAAACAAACAATCCAATTAAAAAGTGGGCAAAGGAGATGAATAGACATTTTTCAAAGGAAGACATACAAATGGCCTACATGTATGTGAATACATGCTCAGCATCACTAATCATCAGAGAAGTGCAAATCAAAACCACATTGAGATATCATCTCACTCCATTTAGACTGGCCATTATTAAAAAGACCGAGAATAACAAATGCTGGCAAGGATGTGGGTAAAGAGAAGCTCTTCTACATTGTTGGTGGGATTGTAAGCTAGCACAGCCATTATGGAAAACAGTATGGAGGCTTCCGAAACAAGTACAGATAGTACTAACATATGATCCAGCAATCCCACTCCTGGGTATATATCCACAGGAATGGAAATCATCATGTGAAAGGGATACCTGTACTCTCATGTTCATTACAGCTCTATTTACAATAGCCAAGACATGGAACCAACCTCAGTGTCCATCGACAGATGACTGGATAAGGAAAATGTGGTGTATATACTGAAAGGAATACTACTCTGCCATAAAAAAAGAATGAAATTCTGCCATTTGCAGCAACATGGATGAGTCTGGGGAAAATTATGTTAAGTGAAATAAGTTAAACAAGAAAAGAGAAATTCTGCATGTTCTCACTCTTAACTGGGTGCCGAGAAAGAAGGAAAGAAAGAGAGAGAGAGAGGGAGGGAGGGAGGGAGGCTTTGCGGCTGGAGCTGTCCGGCCACATGTCTCTTTCCCTTTGCTTTTAGAGCCCATGTCCCGAGGCTGTGCTGTCACCTCCACTCTAGCAGAGGAAAGCCACCGCGAGAAAGAAGCTGTGTTGACATATGGCACAACAAAAACGATCCCAGCGGTAACTCAGACATCACACCGCGTTGCTTCCCTTCCCATGACACCCCTGCCCCAGCAGATCAGCAAGTGTCACAAAGGACAGGAAAGTGACACCAAAGCAAACTGTGTGTGGGAGGGGCTGCGAAACCATCCCCACCCCAGAATCAGCCACCAGATAATCTTCCCGAAGTCTGAAGAGGACTGTGGGCTCAGGAAGCAGTGTCCGTCCTCCCTGCAGTCAGCGGAGGTGCTGGGCCAGGGCAGAGGCAGGGGGAGGGGACCCAGTGGACCCGGTGAGGCGAGAAAGAAAATAAAGAAAGGGAAAAAGACCACAACAGTATGTTGAACTTTCAGAAGGAGAGAAAAAAACCTAAGGATACTAGAGATGGGGGAGGGAGGGAGTTGTTTTGGGGAATGATCGATCGGGTAAAGGGCATAAGGAAAAAATCAATTTGTAATAATGAATGTGCTTATAATAAAATATAAAAATTTTTTAAAAGAGCAGATAGCATCCAGTGTCACTGGAGCACAGTTGGTAGATAGTGGTACAAGATAAAATTAAAGAGACAGGCAGGGGTTATATGATACAGGCCATAGTAAGGAGTTTGTATTTTATTCTAAGAGTGTTGGAAATCCATTGAGAGTTTTAATTGGACAGTAATATGATCTTATTTACATTTTGACAAATCACACAACTACTCTTTATAGTAGGCATTGTGAGGGGCAAGAATGAATGCAAAGTGATCAATAACACAGCTATTGCAGTCATCTAGGTGAGAGATGATTGTGGCTTAAGCTAGGATAATGGCATTGACAGTATCTTTAAAAATATGCTAAAGGACCCAAGATGCATGTCCCTCTCCCTTCTTCCTTGACCCAATTATACCCATAACTTTGGTCATACACACTCCCATTGGTAGAAATGAATATGAAACTCTGCTGAATTGGCAGTCTATTGTGCTGAATCAGTTATGTGTGTTTAATACACTCTTTAGATGGAATTATTATATTAGCTCACATTATTCATAATTTTAGTTTTTACACTTAACAGTAATCACATTAAATACAGTCATACTCTCTCAGTGAAGATGGAGAAAATGAAAAGGATAGAAAAATGCCTTTCTTCTAAGGGAAAGAAAGGGAAGGAAGGAGGGAGAAAAGGAGCAAGGAAGGAATGGAGAGAGGAAGATAGGGATGATTTTTGTTTTATATATCAGACTTCAGAGTGAAGAGAACCCTGAAATAAGAAGTTGGAAAAACTGTACAGGTCACATCCCTGGCACTCACTTGCTGTGTGACCTTAGGCAAGTCACTTGATATGGCCCAAGTCTTTACTTCCTTTATCTGTGAAATGGTCAATTGAACTAACTGTCTAGAATGTCTTTTCTGTTCTCCAAATTGTTATTCTGAGAACCACTGTCTTTGCCATGTTGTAGAGTTTTATCCACTTCATACAACCCAACCTCTGGAGACAGGAGATAAATTATGAATCCTTGTTTTTAGATAGGAAAGTTGGGGTAAACAGAAGTTAAATAATTTCTCAAGGTCACTCAAGCAGTTAATAGTATAGTTTCTTTGTTTTATAATAGAAAATTTTATGATCAGATATTCAGATATGAAATGTTTTCCCTTCCCTTCATCCCCAAAAGGTGCTTTTAAGATTGATCCAACAAGGAAAGAAGTACATACCACAATTCTCCTATGTGATCTGTTTTTTGCTTGGCAACTTGAGATGAGTTTGACTATCCATCATCAGTACATAACAAGCCATCCATATAGACTAGTAAGATATAAAGTCTCATATTGAGCCCTAACAATTGTTAACTACCTCATTTTTCCTACAGCTGTACGATTCTGTGACCGGTGCCATCTGATCAAGCCAGACCGCTGCCACCACTGCTCTGTCTGTGCCATGTAAGTGACAACCATGTTTCCCCCTGGGCTGAGCTTTGCCTCTGATGGTTGCCTAGAAAACAAAATGACTGCTCCTGACATGTAAACATGCCTAGATAAGAGCATTTCCTTTCAATCATAATGAGCACATGCCAAATGCCCTCACAGGAATTATGATGATGCAAACTATTCTAAAGATAGGAAAGAGAAATAAAACCACATTTTAAACTAAGCTTCTTATCTTAGAACAGTCTTAGATTTACAGATTTATTGTGAAGATAGCTCTCATATGTCCCATATGTAGTTTCCCCTGTTATTAACATCTTATATTATGTAGTATGGTACATTTGTTAGAATTAGTAAGCCAGGATTGATACAGTATTTTTAACTGAAGTCCATACTTCATTTAGATTGTCTCAGTTTTTCCCTAATGTTCTTTGTCTGTTGCAGGATCCCACCCAGGATACCATATTACATTTAGTAGTAATGTCTCCTCAGCTCCTCTTAGCTGTGACAATTTCTCAGACTACTAGTTTTTGATGACCTTGATAGTTTTGGGGATTAATGGTCAGGTATTTTGTAGAATGCTCCTCAATTGACATTGGTTTGATGTTTTTCTCATGATTACCAGACTGGGGTAATGTGATTTGGGGAGAAAGACCATAAAGATAAAGTTCCATTCTCATTACGTAATATCGAGGGTACATATAAACATGACTTACCACTATAGTATTAATCTTGTTCATCTGTATGAGGTGGTGTTTGTTAGGTTTCTCCACTGTAACATTATTCTCCCACCCCTCCTTTTTATACTGTATTCTTTGGAAGGAAGTCACTATGCATAGCCTACACTAAAGGAATGGGAAGTTATGCTCCCTCTCCTTGAAGGTGGAGTATCTACATAAATTATTTGAAATTCTTCTGCTAAGAGATCTATCTCTTCTTTCCCATTTATTTATTTATTCAATCATTTATTTATATCAGTATGGAGGCATGGATATTCATTTTGTATTTTGTGTTAAATTCCAGTAGTACTTTATTTTGTTACTTAAATTGTTCCAGCTTTGTAAAACCCCATTTAATGTTAATACATATACTCTTCATGCCTTTCTTCTTGAGTGCTTGTTCCACCCATATTTCTCTTACCCCTGATTCACACACAGGCTATAGCCATATGTTTTCATCTGTACCTTTATTAACTGAGTATTGAACAAAATGAGAGGAGACATCTTGGACCTTTTGTCTGTATCAATATCCTGGAATTTCCAATACTTTTAAAGTTTGGACTTCTAGGCATGTAACTTGCTGCCAGCATGATCCTACAAAGTGTTATTGTGATTGCCTCATCCTAGGAATAACTGAGAACACGATAGTTTGAGTCGCTATAGTGGAAATCTGGGAATGGGTGTACTGGAACCATGTAAAAATACTGGTGAAACCTCGAGTTCAATTATGAGGTGTTGCTTCATTTCCATGGCCTCACTTACCATACTGTATTTTGTCCCCTTTGTAGGTGTGTATTAAAAATGGACCATCACTGCCCTTGGTATGTCCCTTTGATTCATTTCTCTCCTCTAAAAGGGTCAAAGTTGCTCAGTATGCCCACTTTCCTGAGCATAGGTGTAACATGCCTGTTTCTGCCATCATAATTCACTGGGCTTTGTATTTGTATGGGGAACAGAGGATGGGTGACATTTTAAAGCAAGAGTAAATATACCACCAAAGGTATGGTGGTAAATTCCTGGGGTTACAAAGCTAATGGTCTCCTGTCCATTAACTTTAGCAACTGAGCGTAGTAATAAAATACAGCACAAAATTTTCTCCTCTTCAACATTACACAATTCAGTTCTGTTTCTTGCTGGCTTGATGTTTGAGATAGTCTAGATTGTTAAATTCAGCAATTCTTTTCCAAATTTTGTATGCCAGACCTATAGAACCAGTCTGAAATCACCTAATTACAGACAGAACATACCACAACTATACCAAGTGTAGCTGATTAGACTGTAATAGGTTTTTAGCAACCAGGACCCAAGTTTGCTTGGGTATGTCAGGAACCAGTACAGAACTATTAGGTAGGCCACGTGTCTCTATGCCTGTAAATGAAAGGAGAAGCAAATGAGATGTAAACTTGTTTTTCCAGTCTGCTCCTATTAAGGGACTTCTTTCTTTGTTGGGTTTCCACACAACACATAGTGAAACAGCAGGAGTAATGTTTTCGTCGCTTAGTCCACTTAGGTATCACTGTGTTCTCTGTCAATGGGTCCTGATTTCAAATTAGTTTTTCTTTCTTTTTTTTTAGGGTTAATAACTGCATTGGATTTTCCAACTACAAATTCTTCCTCCAGTTCTTAGCTTATTCTGTTCTCTACTGCCTATATATTGCTACAACAGTCTTCAGCTATTTCATCAAATACTGGAGAGTAAGTTAAAAAAATCCCAAAGGGTCCCCCTCGAAACAAATGCACACCCACTCTAATTTGTGACATTGTTTACCCTATTACCATTTTATGTTTTGAAATAGCTAATACTGAAGTAACCAGAAGGAAAGGCACTAAAAACTAGTTTTCCATGTTGAATATTCTGAGATTTAAGTCAGTTATTTAAAGATTCTAGTTAAACAAGTTTCTGTCATACATGAGAATCTTGCTAAGGACTTCAGGAATTCAACTTCTTGACTCCTACTGATTCTTTACAATGTACTTCTCTAGTCAAGTTTCTAAAATCCACTTCTTACCAGTTATAGATTTGAAAAATGTTGGAACTAATTCTAAATCCCTAGTTTCCTAAGAAAAAGGCTAGCAAAGCACTCCCCTATTGTTAGAAAATACTTTCTAATTCCCTGTTCAAAGGAGAGTTGCAAATTTCGTACTGGACAGAGAGATGTGCTGACTCACCTTCACATATGACCAAATGTAATGCAGAATCTTTTTTGAACTTTGTATGACAAACAATGGGGTGGGAATTAGGAGAATTGGTATCTAATACTGGCTCTGTGACTTGCTTCACTGGCTCATTGCAAAAATCAAATAAAACAGGTGTTGAAAGTGCTTTCTTTACCTTTCAAATGTGGTTCCAATATTTATAATGAAATCTCAAAAAAAAAATAAAAACTTCCCTTCATCTTTATTCTACTTGAAGAGAGATATCAACTATATCCCATCTGTTTAAAAAAAAAAAAAACCCAACAACTGAAGGCAGATTTTCTATTTACATATGTGTTTAGGGTCTGGCGGAAGTGTAATCAAATATATTCTTTTTTTATTTCAAGCCAATGGACTCCAGAAGATATCCCTTCCCCGCAACTCCAGTACAATTACTAAGACATTCACGATGAGGGCTGTACAAACCGAATCTGAATAGCAAAACACAGATGTGGACAGAGTTACTAGTTATTACACAAGAGCCTGTATAAGAGGAATATCTCATCTCAGACACAGAGGTAAAGGAGTAGGGAAAGAACATGAATCCTTTGACCAGAATATAGATTACAATAAACTGGAGAAAAAAGGAAAAAGTCAAGGCAGTGAGAACCTAAATAGCTGAGAACATTTAAATTACCAATTAGTATTTTGATCCCCACTAGTATAGAAAATGTAGTGTAGAAAATTATAGTGATGTGTGCTTTCCATTTTCCCTTCAATTTGCTTAAGTGATTCAGATATTTAACAACTTTAAGAATCAGAAATTATATAATGGATATCAAAATCTTCAACTCAGAGACACACAAAAAAGTATAAACAGAAATGAAGTTTTCTCATAAATTTTCTCCAAATACAAAATGCTTCACTATACTCCACAACTTGACATCTCTTCTTTGGCCCCTTTACACAGCACAGGATCTATTATTTATGGCTCAGTTTCCCATGACCTGTTTGGCATTCCATCCACAGGCTGAGCTACTATCCTGAATGTGAAGAAAATCTGCTTCATCCAATCAGCAGGGAAAGTGTCAGCCTGGATCTTCACTACAAACCTTTCTTGGTCGTTAACACAGTAGGCTACTGCTTAAGAACCATCTTTTACCCTTGTAACAGAGCAAACAATATTGCATTTCACACATTTTGCCTTTAGCCCTCTTAGTCAGCCAATAATCAAATACCACAGTGCCAAACAGGTGCTGTATGCTATTTCTCACTCTTGAAAGATGATTTGGATATGAATCAATCACCAGAAATGTGCCAGTATTCACAAGCAATACCAGGGGTGAACATAGCCTTGTCCTTGTCCTATTCTCTCATTTTTTTCTCCACAATAGACTAGCTTGTGCCTGACAGATGAAGGGTGAGGAAACCTATCTTGGCTTACCCTCATAATGAAAAGGGCACAGTTCAGGGAAATGCTTTTTTGCAGTTTCTCATCCAGAGAATCCTTTAGTTTGGTTTAGGGGTGGCTTTCTCAGTTTAAATTGTCTCCCCTTAAAATAAAAATTAAACACTGCCATGTATTTTAAAAGTCATGTGTCAAGGAGACAAGCTGCGCTCCTAAAAACAGCAACCTCCATTTATAATGGTACTTTACAGTTTTTGAAGCACTTTCATATCCATTATCTCATCTGATCCTCACCACAACCCTGTAAAGTAAGCAAAGTAGGAATTATCAGTATCATTCAAAGATGATAAAACTGAGGCTCTTACTAGTGAAGTGACTTGCCCAGGATCACTCAGCTTGTAAATTTCAAAGTCAGGATTTGAACCTAAGTCTGACCCTAAGCCCAGTGATCCTACACCATACTGTGTTCTACTACCCATTATGGTTCTGCTATGGAGAAGCTCTAGCTCCTTTGAAATAAGGAATTCAAAAAACCATCAGATCATTTATGTCCTCTCAATATTAACTTAAACAATAGCTACTTTGATAGGAGATTGATCTTTACCTTACACAAAAAGTAGTAATACACACCTCCCATACTGGGTCATGAATCTCCTCACAGAGGCTGTGAATTATTTTAGACACAAGATAATAGCATTATTCTGCCATTATGCTCTGAACTGTCCCTTGTGATTATTGCTTTGAATGATTTAGCTTGGTTATCTCCTGAGAAGGTATTTTTTTTAACATAGGGCTGTCACCCTCTTCTAATAAAATAAAAATTTAATATTAAGAACTCTGTCAAGGGACAACATAGTAGATATGCTTTGGCAGACAGAAGAGAGTTTTACGAGAGTAATTAGGGGAGAAAAGACCCAGCTCAGCTATACAGGGCGTAGACTGACTTTATATCAGTTCCTCTTGCCCAGCTATTTCCCATTGCCCATTTAAACATGAAAAATAAGAAGTAAAATAGATATGAGTTTTAAAAACCATACTCAAAAAGTAGATATTATGAAAACAAAAGCCTAGTCAAGGCGAAAACCACTACAAAGCGATATATGTAGTCTTTCCTATAAATTCAAAATAGAACAAAAACCAACCCAATTCAATTTGGGTTCTTAAACCAAGATTTTGTAGAGGGATCATTTCAAAAAGCGTTTCAGGTACAGGTTCCTGAACATTGAAGTCCTTGAGGTAACTATTAACTGGGCTGCTCTGCCCTCATGCAAATTTTACCCAGATCTCCCCTCAGCTGAAAGCATCTGACTGGCTTACTTCCTTTATCTTCATCCTTCAAACATACTCTCCTTGGAAGATTCCCAGTATTTCCCTACATAGAAATGAATAAAAATACCCTCTCAGAGAAGAAAAAAATCTGTATTATCTGAACTTGCCAAGTGTTACCAGGCCTCAACTTTCTTCTAAACTGGAGTAGAACCAGATCATTTGGAAGTTAAGGTCCACTTCACTTAAGAATTACTTTTAACTTTATTACTAGAGAGCATTTGGAAATATTTCAGAGCAATTCATCATGCCAAAACAATGATCATCATGGGAAAAGAGGAAATAAATAATAGTCATTTTCCAACTGCTCATTCCAAAATTAGAAATGTTTTCTATGGTTCTCTTCAGAAGACAAAATGTTACATGCTGTGCATGCTATAGAACTTTAGAACATTCATTCTGATCTAGGCTGCATGTAAGAAAAAAAAAGAAAAAAAAGCTGGTGCCACACGGAAAATAAGATGTCCCGATAACTATAAGAAATCTTTAGCTACCTACTTTTACAATTGCCTGTAAAATCTTGCTTGATTTTTACTGTCTAAATAGCTGTTCCATAGGATGTAATATACCAGCACATTCCACTTCAGCTATAAAAAACAACCACACAAAATTTTCAGCAGCTTTAAAATCAGGTCATGACTAATAGGTAGGACATTAAAAATTCTACCTATGTGTTTTAACTTCCTACATACACCACTGTGACATTTTCAACACACCTATGTCCAAGGAAACATGACACACAAAGATATGCAGAATAGCCCACCTTGAGATAAGAGGATGAACTATATCACCTCAAGATCACCTCTAGCCAATGATTTATAATTTCCAAACAAAATGGAGTACGAGCTTTGAGAGACTCCGTGCCAATTACAGCTTGAGCACAGTATACCCTTTTCACATTACCCTTTTCTAATTGGTACATTATTTACTCTATTTTACACTGAACTGCACTTAATCAAGGATACATTTTAGGCTTTGTAGGCTAACGTCATATCCATAATGAGGCAGGATCATCAACAAAAAGAACCATTTTGTAGAAATTTTACAAAATCTGTTTTTTTTTAAAAAAAAATTACAGCTAGGTATTTTATACATGTGAAAAACTATTAACCTGTATAGGAAAACTAACCAAGCTTTACCACTTTAATCTTTTGTTTTGTTTGTTTACTATTTCTTTTCCAGGGGGAATTGCCCAGTGTTCGCTCTAAGTTCCATGTCCTTTTCCTCCTCTTTGTGGCCTGCATGTTTTTTGTCAGCCTTGTGATTCTCTTTGGTTACCATTGTTGGCTTGTCAGCAGAAACAAAACTACCTTAGGTAAGAATGAATATTGAGACTAGGAAAAAAGCATATTAATGTATATCAGAGTGAACTGTGGATCATTCCCAAGAAAGAGAAAAACTTCCAGTAAAGCATTTTAGCTGCAGTGACATCCCTTTGCCTCCAGATCGAGAGAGATGAAAATACGTTTTACCAAACCAGAGAGCCACAGTGAATGAAGCTTACAGACTAAAGAAAGCATTGGTAAATGAAACCCCACACAAAAACAAAAATGAACATTGCTCTTTATAGTGCACATTAGGTAATAGCTTTCCAGATTTACAACTCGAAAGATTTCTAAAAGGTATTCATATGAGGAAATGAAGGAATCAGTACAGAAGGGAATATCAGAAGGAGGAGGTGAAGGTTGATAAACATAGAAGAATCTAATTTATTGAGCACATCTAAAAACAGTCCTGAGAAAGAATACATACCAACAAGAATCTAAATGTCTTGAGAAAGAATAAAATCTTTGAATACCTGCAATCATCAAGGAGCTGTGTAGGGACCTTGGAAATGGTATAAACACATTGAACAAGTGAGTGTAAAAAATGAGTACAAGAAATAAACATTTTTTTCTGTCAGTTATTCTATAGGCTGTTATTTGGAGAACTATATTTCTGATGAATTCCAGCACGACAATTTTTTTCATCTATGATGAAACAAATATTTACATTGGGTACAAATCAGTATATGAGGAGTGAAGAGAAAGTGTCCAAATGTTGAATGTTTAGCTAGGATAGATCTGAGTAAAGTTTAGTGCAAAAGCCACTACACTTTGAGAATTAATTTGCTAATAATGCTAACAGCTAACAAAGTATTTGCATCCATTTTCTAAATCAAATATATATGCAGTATTTAGTTGCTAGGGTGGTAGCACATTTGGCTTAGAGATTAGCTACAAAGTAGAAAAGTACTAAAAGCTTCGTGATGAAAAAAAAGAACAAATGGGAAATGGTAAGATGCAGCCAGAGTCCAACAGTGAAAGCTTTGGGGATAAATGTGTGTGTAAAAATAATATTCACTAACATGGTCTAATTCCTCATTGTTTTGAGGTGATTATAAGTTCACCCATTGACATTTTATCTGGAGTAAAACTCAGTTTCTTATATTACATGCTTCAGTGTGAACATCTTCGTTTCTGAAATGTTTCAAAACCAAATTGATGTCATTACCATCTCTTTATGTGTCGTTACTTTGGTCCCAGTTCTAAAAATGGAGACCATTTGGCTGTTGTTGCCACTTAGATTCAAATAAAGTGCTGTTAAATATGTTCTTTCACTCCTTAAATCCAGCAGTACAAAATATGTACTACCCCATGACTGCTTAATTATTTCTACCAGCATGTGTTTCCTCTACTTTTTTTTAGAAAAATGAGTTCTAATTCTTTATATTGAATAACAAGCTTACCTTGTGCTAGTGATTAAACTGGTTTTTATTAAGTTATTTAGCAATAACTAAGAATGAGGGGCCTATGCTGCCACAGCAAAAATATACCATAGAACCAAGTCATATTCATGGAGAACTATAAAACCATGACTGTGCTGAAATTTGTTCCTTTATTGCTTTCTTCCTCTTTTCTTCAACTCCCCTACTGTGCCCTAGAGGCCTTCTGCACTCCAGTGTTTACAAGTGGCCCAGAGAAAAATGGGTTCAACCTTGGCTTCATCAAGAATATCCAGCAGGTGTTTGGAGATAACAAGAAGTTCTGGTTAATACCTATTGGGTCCAGGTAGGTAATTATTACCACTGAAAGAAGTTGATGCTGGATCATGCTTGGAAGTAGCAAATTCAATTTTGATTATAGTATGCAGCAGATATCAGTCAAATGTGAAACTCTGTCCCCCAAGTTTTTCATTTCTAGGTTAGTAACAACAAATCAGGAGGTGAGGATATGATAAAATAGACATTCTCATGCTTTGTTTGTGGCAGTGTAAACTGGTACCAGTATTTTATAAATGAGTTTGGTAATATGTATCAAAAACCTAAGAGTTAACATGTCCATTGTTCTAGTAATTCCATTTCTTGAAATCCACCCTAAGGACAGAAACAAACTGTGCAAAAATGTTCATCACAGCATTATGTACAGCCAATAATTAGGAAAGAACCTAAATATCCAAAAATATAGGAATGAATAAATAAATAAATATATACACATATATTTCCGCTTAATAGAATATTATGTAATCAGAAGTAATGATTATAAAGACTCACAATAAGTGGAAATGCTTACTAGATTTTAAATGAAAAATACACTGTGATTAAAAATATGAACAAATATATACAGAAAACAAACAACAGAAGATAAATACAGCAAAAAAATGCTAAAAGTGGTTAAAGCACTAATCAGAAATTATTTTTCTTTTCTTCTTTTTCCATATTTTGGGGTGAAATGCTAATGTTATTTTTATGAAGGAAAAAATAAAATAACAAGCAAGAATAAACAAAGATTGATTTAGAGATTATAAGTAACCTTTAGAACCACAGCAAGAATGTAGGGAAAGCAATGAACAAGAAATGAATAGATCCAAGCTTGAATCCTCTGAGTGACTTTATGAACCCAAATGAACCACCATCAACTACACTAGCTCTGGAGCAGAGCTCGTTTACAACCTTCTTGCAGCCGCCTCTACATCCACTCCTCAGACAACAAAACATTTATGTTCACTTATCTGAGGAAACTTTGTTGGGATAGGGTGGTAATTAAGGAATATTTTCTCCTCCCCTTCATTCATTGCCCTGATACTTCCTCTGCATCAGTTAGTGTTTTACAGGCTCATTCATTGAAGAGATGTGGTATATCTTACTATCCTGTCTGTAAGTCACAAGACAAAACTACATCAGTGGGTAATGTTGATTCATAACTGTTACCAACAATTATCTACTCCCCATTCACACACATACACAGAAATACACACACACCATTAACCACATCAAAGTGAGGTCTAAAATAAGTTTTCTCTGGAAAAAAGAAGAAAAACAAAAATAAAAGCCCATTCGCTTATAGTATACTTGCATTGTCTGTAGAGTACTGTCAGTAAAATCTGTCAACTTTCAATTAACCACATTCATGAACAGGAGAAAAGGTAATATCATGAATAATCCAGAAGTCACTCAGATTTGAATTTTGAATACATTCAGATATATAGAAGCAAATGCTCAAACTGTAACCCACTCTAGCCAGGGCCAGCTCAATTCCCTCCAATGCATCTCATCTGTTAAAGGCCAGAAATTAACCAGGAAGGTGACCCTGGCTTACCATAGATATCCACAAAGTGGATTCCACATGTGGATATTATTTGCCTCCAAAATCTGCACTCTAGAGATACCTCATTCTGGCTCTTTCCCCTAGTTTTTAATAACCTTTCTGCCAAATAAATTAACAGGGCACTTAGGCATTATCTATCAGCAATTCACAGCAGTTTATCTCTACTGTATTCAATTATTCTGAGTCTCCTCATCTTTCTTGAAAATTTGGAATCAAAACAGTAAGATATCAGGATCATTATCATTAAATGATATTTATGAAACTTGCTGTGTGTGCGTACTGCCATACTGGGCATTGTGGAGAGCAAGTTAAAGAGCTGCTTACAGACAAAAACAGTCAACAGTGATGCAGACAAGCAAACAAGATATGGAAATTGAGCGCAATACTACAACTAAATGATGATGTTGTAAGAGTCTGTTCCACCATGGCTTTGGACAATAAGTCTAAATATTCCTAAGAACCCCCTCCCATTTCTAAGAGGATTATTACCTTTACAAAAAGTCTATGTCAGCTGCAAGAGCTCACTGCCTTCCTTTCCCCACCAGCCCTGGTGATGGACACTCCTTCCCTATGAGGTCTATGAATGAGTCACAGAACCCACTGCTAGCAAATGAAGAACCCTGGGAAGATAATGAGGATGACATCCGAGGTAGGTAGGCTCAGAAGGAATTCTTTCCCCACCCAGCAGAGGAAGCACTATAAAGTCCATGTTAATACAACCAACGTAATGTGGTGAGTAAACAGGCCCCATACTTTTTTACTTTTATAAGTATGTCAAACTCATAAGTACTGGATGGAGGAGGGAAAGTGTGGCCAGTTTTGTTTAACAAACATGGGGAGCTTAGGTAGGATGAGATGGCAGCTTCAGAGGTTCCTTACTAGCCTTGTGATACCATGATTTATAACCAGTCAGATAAATCAGAATACATAATAAACAGTGCTGTTCATGTCTGTAAACAGTCTTGCTGGGTGGTAACTCATGGTGCTTTGCTTGAGTGCAAAGCTTTAATGATTCAATTAATACACAATAGTTCACTTTTCTCTACCCTCCTTCATTCACATTGATTAAATTTCCTTAAAATCTTATTCTCTTTTAGAATGGTTTAAATACACTAAAAAATAAAACAGTATATAGGGAAAAGTCTACACATGCATGTAGTCTACATTCCTAAAAGGGACAGGGACAAAGGAAAAATAAGGAAACAGGACATTGCCCTTCCAGCTTTCTTCTACCAGATCATTGGGTTATCTTGAGACTTTTTGTGAAGAGCTGAAAGTTAAGTTCTCATCTCATGTATCACCATTGCCAGTTCTATTCTTTGTCTCCATCTATTGCTAGGCCTACTTCTATGCCTCCAATATTTGCTTATGTTTCTAATACCAGCCATCAGAGAGTAATTTTTAGCTACTGGTCCCAATAATGCAGTGGCTGGCAGCAATTATAAGTAGGAACTTGTAATAGTTATGACAAATTGTACCTGGGTTGAATGAGACTGAATGAGGACATGGAAAGGCATTGAGGTGGGGAGTAGAGGTGGAAAACAAGCCTTTCTAATTTTCAAAGAGTTAGATTATCCAGGCCCAGACTCTCTACCTGGAAGTCCAGTTTTAGAGGAAAGCACATTGCTGGGACTAAAGAAGAAAAAACAGCTCCAAATCCAGAATGACAAAAGAAGACAGTTATTGCCCAGATGAAAGACTGCATCCTCCTGATGTGTTGGAAAATTGACTGTATTTTGACCAAACTTCCTTTAGCCTTCAGTCTTTCTGAACAGACTTTTACTTACATCAGTCACAAGTGATAAGAACTCTTATTTTGGTATTAAGAAAACAAACTATAATGGTAATCAGAGACTTACTGGGCTTAGCCTAATTTGAAATAACTCTACAATGGAGCAACTATTCATATCTGAGCCTTATTTTGGCAAGCAGAACACTTTAAGTGTAACCATCATAAAGAGGTTATTTTTTGAAGTAGTCTCCAATTCCAGACTTTGTAAAAAATATTCAATCACAAAAATTTGTATATCATTTTATAGTTCACAAAGTATTTTTATATACTTTTTTCATCCTTGACCATCACAACTGTCAGGTTAGGTAGGCATTATTATTAATATAATTGAAGAAACTGAGATTTAGAGATGTTAAGTAACTTAAGATCTCATAGCAAGAAAGAGGCAGAACTTAGACCTAAAGTAAGATATACTGATTCCAAATCCTGGGTTCTTTCCAATACAATGCTATGTCTCTCCTTTGCACAAATATATATGAGACACAGTGCTGTGATCTTGTTATCTGAAGCATCCAACTGCTTCTTACATAAAATCAGACTATAAGCCACCTTTAGCTTTAGTGAGACCAGTATACTGTCTCAGAGAGATGAGGTTTTTATTATTATTATTATTTAAGTTCATTGAAGAAAACTACACAACACTCCTTTATAACTCATTCCAGTATTTAATAAATTTAATTATTAGAAAACTGTACTTTTCTCTAACACACGTTCTCATGCTGCACTATTTGTCCAGTTATCCTCAGTTGCTTCCATTTTCTGTATATAACTGGTCATATACAAACAGCCCTTGCACTTTTAACAACTTAGATTCTTGTGAAATGTGCTGTAAGTTAGAATTATGTGTGTTGAACTTAATTTCTTTTAGGAATGATGTCAGAGTTTGATTCCTAGCCCGAAATATAATATTTAGTTTACTATAAATGATGTATATCTCATAATGTAAAACATTCAAATGTATATAAAATTATAAAATATGTAACAGTAGCCTGTTAAGTAAAAATGTAATATCAGAGTCAGGAACTATATAAAGTCTTCATCTTCTTTGAAATTCCTGCCTTATTTTAGTAAAGTATTAGGTTAAAAAAAAAACACTTTTATGAAATCAAACAATTTAAACAGGCTTCTCTGGTGTGGTTTTTAAAATTAAAGTGTTTAATGTACAAACGCATAGAAAAATGCACAAATCCAAAGTGTATAGATCCGTGTAGTCTGCAGAGGAGACCTAACAGGTATCTTTCTAAAGACTTTTGAAAGACTTGGGGCTACATTTTAGCTTTTTGAGGAAATGATCCAGAGGTGTCTGTTCTATTACAGCTTTTGCTCATTATAAATTTTCCTTTAGCTGCCATGAAAAAATAAAGTTAAAGAGTACATAAGTCTTTCTGCTTTATCCAAATTTAGGATCCATTTTCTCCAAATTGGATGGGTGATATCCATGGCCCTTACTGTCATAATTATCATGAATAATAAGGTGTGTATGATTATCAGGTTGATTCTTAAATGCAAACTGCCGTGAGTCAAAGCCTGCCTGTATGTGAAACCCATAAAGAACCCCTTCAGTCTTCTCAGGGAGAAATAATCCTAGTTTCCTAATATTTTCTTATAGAGCTGATTTCTTAAAACCTTTTCGTCTTTATGGCTCTGTTGCCTTTCTGAATGTTCTATGTCCTCTTATTGTTTCAGCAGGTAACAAAGCCTGTGCCATTTTCCAACCATCACCCCTTTCAAATTAGTTGATGAACTCCTTGATCATGGACATTTATTTGAGATGCAGCATCCCTGGAAATCCAGAGAAGGTAGCCACAGTCAATATTCCTAGGCAGTAAACTTAACAGAGACATTGGCAAAAACTCCAGTAGAAAAGCAATGGCTTTTTCTATTTGCAAGTGAGTAACTCTTTGGAGTTTTTGTTTATTTCCTTTTAAATGTTTATTTATTTTTCTTGTAAAATTTTAAGGTGTACAACATGATTTTTGAAATACGTATATATAGTGAAATGATTACTACAGGTAATCAATTTAACATATACATCATCTCACATAGTTACCTTTCATGTGTGTGTGGTGAAAGCACATAAAATCTACTCCCTTAGAAAATTTCCAGTATATGACATTCACATCAATTCCCAATGGCCTGGGAGAGGCAGTGAGCTTTCTCCCCACTATCACCCCAGATAGGTGTTTTAATGCTATATCAGTGTGATATCTGCCTAAAATAGAAAAACTTAAGAAGGAATTTCCAGCGGTTTCTAGAAGTATTTGTAAATAAGAAAACACTGATTGGGTTCGGGTCCCCATTCCAGCCAGTCAACAAAAAACAAAAACAAAGAAAGAGATAGAGATGAGAGAGAGAGAGAGAGAGAGAGAGAGAGAGAGAGAGAGAGAGAGAGCTGATGGGGAAAATAAAACACCTAATTTTTAAATGACAGAGATTGTACTAAACAAAATGTGTCCAAAAAAGGAAAAGAAAAGAAAAAGAAAATTTTGAGTATATAGTACAATACAGTCCCCGTGTTATACTTTAGATCTCTAGATTTATTTGTCCTACATAACTGCTACTTTGTATTCTTTGGCATCAATATCCCCATCCCCCAGCCCCTCACCTGCTTCTGGTAACCACTGTTCTATTCTGTTTTCCCTGTTTCTATGTATTTGACTCTTTTTTTTTTTTTTTTTTTTTTTTTTTTTTAGATTCCAGATGTATTTTAGATTCTATGTTGTTGCAAATGGCAGATCACCTTCTTTTGTAAAGCTGTATATTAATCCATTCTGTATTTATACCACAATTTCTTTATCCATTCGTCCAGCCATGGACACATCAGTTTTTTTCTATATTTTGGCTTTTGTGAATAATGCTGCAATGAACACAGGGATGCAGATATCTCAACAAGGTGCTGATTTAATTTGCTTTAGGTATATGCCCAGAAGAGGGATTGCTGGATCATATGGTAGTTCCGTATTTTATTTTTTTGAGGAACCTCCACATTGTTTTCCATAATGACTATCCCAGTTTACATTCCCACCAACAGTGTAGGAGTGTTCCCTTTTCTCTGCATCCACACCAGCATTTGCTATTTTCTGTCTTGTTGATAATAGCCATCCTAACTGGGGTGAGGTGATACTTCATGGTGGTTTTGATTTGCATTTCCAGATGATTACTGATGTTAAGCACCTTTTCAAGTACCTGTTAGCCATCTGAATGTCTTTCTTGGAAAAATGTCTACCAAAGCCCTTTACCCATTTTTTGATCCAGTTATTCTTCCTTGTGCTACTGAGTTGTGCAAGTTCCTTATGTATTTTGGATATTAACACCTCATCAGATATATGGTTTGCAAATATTTTCTCATTCTTTATATTGCTTTTCATTATGTTGATTATTTCCTTTCCTGTGCCAAGCTTTTTAGTTTCATGTGGTCCCACTTTTTGTTTACTTTTGCTTTTTTTGCCCGTGCTTTTGATGTCCTTTCCAAAACATCATTGCCAAAACCAGTGTTAAGGAGCTTTCCCCCTATGTTTTTTAATAGGAGTCTTCTACAGTCTCAAATTTAGATCTTTTATCCATTTTGAGTTGATTTTGTTTGTTTGTTTTACCAATTTTATTTTTGTTTTTGTGGAATTCAGTGTGTTGTTTCAATCCATGCATATCCTGCGCAATAAATTGCTTAGGGTAGATAGCATAGTTTTGTACCCGTTAGTCCACCCTTTCTCCTCCCCCTACCCCCTCCCCTCCCAGCCTGTGGTAACCATTATTCTACTCTCTACTTCTATGAGAACCACTTTTTCTTTTAGATTCCACATATGAGTGAGACCACACAGTATTTGGTTTTCTGTGCGTGACTTACTTCACTTAACATG